AGGAAGAGAAGAGTAGTAGAGGAAGAGAACACTCAATAAATTGGTTTTAAAAGTATATTAATCCAGAATTTATATTGATTATGGTGAAATCAATGCCTTAGTGCCTCCTATCTTGATTAGGTTTATTTGTTATTTTCTTTTTATTATTTTTAATTAAAGTTTTTTCCTATTGATTGTTCAAATAAATTTAAATTAATTATTTTGGTACTTAGTTAAACACAATTCTCGTGAGTTCGACACTCTTCTCATCATTATATTACTTGGGGCAACTAGTACATTTGTTAGGGTAATTTTAGTGCATCACATCCCATGTTCCAAGTACCCTAGTTCATCAAGTCTAGTTTCTTTCAAAATTTCACTGTCATTTAACGGTTATTACTCCTTGATGTTGATAGAATTTTCTTATTTTTCATCCTAGTTTGGTGAGTTTACCTTCTTTTTTTTTTTTCTTTTCTTTTTTTAATGCTTGTTCACATTGTCAGTTTCTATTTTCTAACCTTCAATTTATAAATAGTCAGAATATATAAGTAGGCAGACTGCCTGAATTTATTTTCCAAGCTTTTTGGGAGGTCATGTGCCCTTAATTACGATTGTCTAAGGAGAGAGACAAGTTTGGAAAATGTAGTAATGGAGTGACCTTTTATAGAGGAAAAAGTAAAAATCATAACATGATATTAAAAATATTATTATATTCAATCACAACTACTAATATATAAGATATTATGTGGGCTAAAATTTTATTGAATTTATCATGGGCTATTATTGCATGTTTTAATTTTTCCTTTTGTATTTCATGAATTTGGTTTATTCATATTTACACTTTGAAAAATTATTTTACAAAATGAATTAATTTTATTAAAAATATTTTAATAAATTTATAAATTATATTATATTTTTAATATGCAATTCAATTCGTAAAATATAAATCCCTCTCCTCTTTATCATGCAGCCTATCATTTATCGGTGGTGGTTGGGATATTCTCTGTTCTGACCTCTCTGGCACGGTAGAAGTGCCCTCATGCGTGCAGTGCCTATCATATATGCAAGTCTAAGTCGAATCCCTCCCAAATAAGTTGTTTACTTTGTCATGTTATAACTCGTTTTCTGTACCGTTGGATAAAGCCATCCCTGTATTTGCAAAATTAACATAGCTTTGTAGTGAGGAAGGAAAGTAAGCTAAGTAACCTTCAAATACCAATACTAATCAAAGTCCAGGTAAGACCCCACAAAAAATTAATGACCCAGACTTTGAACACCGTCCTCAAATCACCCAAATTTCCAAACCCATGTTGGCTGACGACTTTGAAGAGTCACCTCAAATGACCCAGACTCACGCTGAATTTCAATGCCGATAATAGTGCAGTCCACAGAAGACAAAATACTATTCCAAGTCCAAGGAAGACCGACTCCAACACTAATCCATCCCACAAAAAAAGTTAACCAGTAGTAAATATCCAATGATGAAGAATTAATCGGAATAAACCACCTATGCTGCGAATTGTTTCTCATCTTATTCCCCAATGGAAGATATGAGAGATTCAACAGCAATGCCACAGATTGTGAAGATTGTGAGGTTGGTTATTAAGTTTCATCCGCTATTGATAGTGACCAATCTAATCTTCGGGGTAATATTTCTACATGATTGGATTGAAGAGGAGGTGAGCAAGCAATGGAAATTTCTCAAGGTTTATTGCCAATCAACAATGAGAGCTTTGCTGGATCCAATTACTAAGAAGATGAAGAATCTATCGAAAGCGCTCCAGATGCATTTCAACAATGAAGCAGCAAAAGGTCAGCTAAAGGCCAAGTTGATCGGTAAACTTGCTCTATTCTCTGCCACATTTCTTCTACTTGATACAGAGTTGGGTTTAAATTTTGATAAAAGAGGGGCTACATTGCAGTTATTGTTGTTTGGTGGCCTTGATTTGCTAACACGTTCAAAGCTTTGGAGTGAACTCCAAATTCTCCGTGGAAGCTGCAGCTGTGCCATAAA